AAGTGCTTGCTGAGTCACTCGCCAGAACGACGGCGAAAACAAGAGCAGACTCAACAGCTCCGCGCTTTACGGGGAAAAAAAAAAAAAAAAACAGCCGACCCTACAGTTGCGTTGTCAATTGCTACGAACGTGAAGGACTTCGTTTTGTTTTCCGCAGCTTTCGCGAAGGAGAACTGCGAGAGCACTGCACATGGGCTGTTGTGTTGGGTAAGCGAATCACTCGCGTTGTCTACAGCCGTTCGCATGAGAAATTGTGATAATGGAGGCCTCCTGTTATTGTTTTGAGTAGCTTTGATATCGTAGTAACTTTGATTATAAAGCTTAACAGAGCCTCTGACCGCGGTGCGCACAGTGCCGCAGTAGACAGGTGACGCGCCCAATAATGCCGCGACTGCCGATAACCTGAAGCTTTACGCCTGAGGGCTTTCAAGGCTCCAAGTTCCAGCTTTATCTGTGAAATGCGAACATGCACGTCTTACAGGCAAATCGCAAAATGATCATGACCACAATAAGTTTTCTTTTTTCTTGCCATTGGTCTCCGCGATTGCCCAAGCTATCTCGGAGGCCTCGGTTTTGCATTTCGTTGTACACCGAGAAAGTAGACATGCATACATCCCCGTTTGCAGTATATACAAACGGATGATAATCATCAACAGGACATTCTAGCACCCGTAATAAAACAGTTCAGTGCACAAGAAGCGAGAGATCGGTGGAGAATGCAACTGCAATGGCGAAAATCGCCACGGCTATTTGTGCCGAATAAAGTGAACTTCGTACGACTGATCGTAAGATAGATTGCTCGTGTATGCACTTCTTCGCTTTGGCATCATGTGCACAACCCAGTTTAACGCATTTAGGCGTTACAGAACGAACTTCGGAGTGCTTGCCTGTAACTCGATGTCATGCGATGCTCGCTTGCGTGCCAGTTGCAGTATGCCGAACAACTGAAACATCTTTCGCATTGTACCCAGTTTGTTTTGATGAGTTTCTTACTTCTCTGAAGCGATGTTGTATTGAAGTAAGAAGCTTGCCAGGTCCTTGATATTCAGGAAACCGCGCCTACAGCCAACGAAAAAGAAGGGCCTATGCACGTTCGCTTGCGGACGGCTCGCGTTGCACTACCCATTTATGGCCGGCGCGTCGATGGGGGCGCTTATGGCGGCGTTTTTCGCAGTGCCGCTTGGGCAAAGTCTGCTAAAAAATTCCAGTGTCGGTGTTGGCATTGGTTGGGAGATGAAAATCATTTTGTCCACGACCGAAAAATTTCGGAGGTGCGTATAAAATTAAGAATTTTTGGGTCCGAGTGGGGATCGAACCTAGGCGGTCTGCGTGGCAAGCAAGTGTCCTACCACAAAGCCGCAATATTTGTTAAAATTGCTTTGATTAAAAAAAAGTGTTATCACTATATGAATGTCATGTAGTCTCGTTCACACGTTTCATATTGCGTGTGAGAAGTATCGAATCGTGCCAGGCATCAGAAGATGTGGATTGAGTTCTGACATATTTATCATCATCAGCAGCAGAAGCACCAACAAAGGGAAAGTTGCGTACGTACGTTACAGACGTAGTAGGCAAAACGAATTGTGGTGTAGTGGGTGCTCTAATTTGGCAATAAGCATGCAATAATACTTTGAAATGGCCAATATTAAGCTACAGTCGTTCATTTTTTTATGGCCCGGCTGAGGCATGCACCGTGAACCAAAGGAGGCTAGCGTTCTGCACTTTAAAGAGGAAGCTCAAGCGTCTTCCAATTTTTAATTTTAGTGACTGACTGACTGACTGAACTGAACTGACAGCTGTCGCGCTTGTCGTTGTCGATCTAGTCGGAAAATGCGAAGCATTGACCAAGTACTCAGGATGTTAGGTTCAAAAACTGTTTATTGATCAAGCTGACGCGTGCCGACGTATGTTTCTTCCATGACAAACGTATCAAAAAGGAGCACCAGGGCCATCGGGTGAATTTTCTTGTCGTATTTCTTCAGTGGAGGACACGCCCGCCACTTGTAGCGCCACATGCGGTGGTTGAAGGCCTCGTCATCTGGAAACACCTCGTTGTTTGAGAGCACAATGACGGGTGTCCTGGAAATGGTCTGGTCAGCAGTGTACTTGATAGCCACCGAGTCTACGTCACCACCAAAAATTTTTTTGACAGTATCGAAAGCGGATGACTCACAGTTTGGCTCGTTCCATACCAGGATGCGACGGCCCACGGTGTCCTGTAGTGGAAAGCTAGTGTAGCGGTTAAAGTTGCGAATGGTACCGCGGTTAATGTAAAATGAAAGAACAGGATCGAAAAAAAAGTTTTTGCCTGCACTCGGAGGGGACACGATTTCCATGCAATTTTTTTTTTTTTGGATCGCCTTCTCGACCAGGCTGTACAAGTTGTTGACAAAGGCCGACACTTCCTCGTGGGTACCGTGAAACTGAAAGTTTAAAAGTTCCATCATGGCATCAAACGACGCGGGCACATCCATGTAAAAGGTAGCGAGGTCGCCATGTGGGGCGTCAAAGAGTGGCTGTGTGTTCTTGTACATTTCAATGAAGTCGAGGGTGGAGTGCGAACACATCTCATCATTAAACACTTGGATGGCTCGTTGAAGGCGCTTGTCGTCCAGGCGAATAAACCGAAATACCGGGTCCGCCAGCCACTTGGGGGTGCGCACAATGTTGCTCAACGGCGATACGGGGTTTTCGCGTAGCCAATCGTAGATGGATTCTTCCGACGCTCCTTTTGCACGTTTTCGGCACTTTGTACCCTTTCTTGCGCATACTTTGTCAGCGTCTCCACCGCTCGTCTGACCTCCATGGGCGTCGTCACATGCAACTGAATGCGGAAGTTTCGGGTGCAGTATTTCCAAAACTCGGCCGGGCTCGTGTCCAGGACCTTGGAATTGTCCCAAAACTTCATTTCTAATGTCGCGAGCCCCATCGCTTCCTCCCACTTTAAGGTATTCCAATAGTCAGGACTGACTATTGAGATACTGGACGAGATTGTAGAGGTCCCATGAGCTGGCGTTTGTAGACCAAATTGACGAGCGATTTGGTCGTCTGACGAAGCCAGCGAAAATAACACATCGGCATGTGCCGTTGCTCCAGCTGCAGTCGTGTAGGACTTGGACGTGTGGTAGGGTGGTTCCTCGTGTGTGGAGTGCGACGGCTGCGACTCCGTACTGGGTGGGTCCTTGTTCGAATCCTCTGACAATGTCATTACAAATTGTCTGAGCTTCTCCGTCGTCTCGAGCAGGAAACACATCGTGCACAAGCTTTCTTCGTTTTGGAATTGAGTGTAACTGCAATGCCCAGCGTGGAGAGGATTGTAAACTTTTTCCATCTCCTGTAGACCCTGTTCTTGGTTCGGGCACATTTGAATTTGATACTTCTCCCACGCCTCGATCAGGCTCCGCAAGTGTCGCCATGGTTTCATTAATGTCATAGGCACGGTTCTCGTGGCTCGAACCAACTGTATTTGACTTTACTTTGTTTCTTAAGCTTTATTTGCTGTGTTGCTACAGAAGTAATGTGAAATGTGAAGTGAAATGAAAAAAAAAAAAACTGACATTGAGCATAATTATTTGCAATGCCACTTCACGGCATTACACATAAATGTAATGCATGACATCTGAGATTTTTTCGAAAACAAGACCTTCACATTTCGTTACAGCTGAAGCTAGTTTTATGAAACAAAAGAAAACCAATGCAGCTATAACAAGTGACACTAAAATTAAATTAAACCGGTCATATGCAGCTGCGACTTGAACATAGACCTCTTGAGTGGTAAGCAGGCATTCCTGCACCACTTTGGAAAAGCCACGCAGAACTCTAACGACAACACCACAGAACATTGCAGGCTACCACTGCAGCGCCACAAATGACTTGACCTTGTTTCGATTTCACTTTCTGTACATTGTTCTCGCAGCCACTCCAAGCATTCCCCTGTTCTAATACACTCTAGCAACAGCTTCGTTACAAACGCTTAAGAATTGGGGCATCTTCAGCAGTAATATAAGCTTTTTTTGTGCAAAATACATTTTGTTAGCATTTCTTCCAGATAACAGAGTTGCACCACTGCATCCTGAGCTTTCCTTTGGCTTTATATGTTGAGTGCAACTCTTCATAGGCCAGCATTCAGAAAGTATATTGACCAATCATTGCTGGAATTCAGTAGAAAATTAACACTCGATTTTGTCAAGGCTTTGCTTTTGGTATATTTGAAAAGAAAAAAAAACTGAATTTTCCTCCCGAATGTAATGTTTCAGGATGTCCTTGCTCTGTGCAGTTATGGAATTGAAAATTTATAGTTTGGGTTCTTGCACTGATTGTGTTTTAGGTAAATGTAAACAGCTCCCACAAAATCCTAGCTTTTATAAATTCTCACTTCCTAACATTTTCTTGCATGCACCATGATCAAGAAATTTTGTTATATAGAAAGAAAAAAAATACTGCCTTTGTCAGCATGAAAAAAAAAAAAAAAGAGTGAACTACATTATGTCTTGCTATACAAATCTCCACAGTGTGAGAATCACTTTGCTGTCCCCTTCTAAAGAAGTTGAACTATTATAGTCGGATACAGCTTTAAAGTCGGCAGCATTTGCCTCTTCAAAGGCGGATGAATACAAACCTACGCCAATGGGGGTGCACACCAGACTGACGTCATGAGTTGGACGGCTGGTGACAGCCTTTGGAGAACGTTGCAGAGCACACGGCACGAGATTATTTCGTTACTCGCGGAGGTGATTAGCTGTCGTGCTTTGGTCTGGGCAAGGCCTTTTTGACTTCTCAAGTTGTATCCGACTATAGTGTTTTCCCACTCTGTTGTACTTCATAGTGTTTTCAACTCGCATAAGAGGTCTCTTTCAGGGAAATGTATTTGTTGCAACACAGTTTAGAACCATTCCAGCCATGTTAGGAGCACAAAGCCAGTTTCTAAAGCTTCTGTAGGCAGAATTTGTGATGTTGTAGAAATACCCAGGTTTTAAGAGGCCAGCCAATGAAGCAAAATGTAAATCTCTACAAGTGAACTTGTTTATTCATTAGCATTACTTGTCAAATATTTCTGTACTAATTAGTGGTGGCCCTCATTCTTCTCATAGTAAGGATGGTGGTGCTGTTTCGGGAAAGCGTAGTCGTATGCTTTCTCTAAAACAACCGTTGCTACAGCCAGTGCTAGGCCAGGCTTCAGTCCACGTGAAAAAGCATTCTTGAGAAGGGTCAAACTGTTGTTCTTCGTGTACTCTTTGTAACGCCACACTTCATTCCTGAAATGCACAAAAAAGTTTTGTTGCACTTGCAGAGACTGAAATAATTACACCATGAACAAAAGACATTTACGCATTCCTGGGTCTGATGTTGCATTGCGGCAAAATCTGGGGGAGAATATATCTTCTATGTCACACTCATGTAAAGTTGTAGTGGCTACTTTGCAGCAGCTGCAGCCTTTTCTTTATTTATGCATCCAAACCTCACATAAGGAAAGGACATGCATAATGTCATTACAACATCGGACTTTGCATGTTCTCTTAAGAAAAGTTAGATGAATCAGTTCACTGACCACTATGAAAATGTGGTTCAGGCTACCTTTAGGAGCAATACATTAAATAATGATACAAAAGTGAGGAAACGAAGCACAGCAAGCCTATTCTTTCATGAGTTCTCACTTTCCACCCTTCCTTGAACATTATGTTGTATGAACTCTCATAGGCAATCTACCTCGCTTTCACGATACCTTTCAAAAAGCTAAACCAATCATAATTTCAATTTCTGCACAACGCTTAACAAACTGCGAAGCCACTTATCGAGACAAGTAGCAGAAGAAGTTGATGATTCCTTGGCTTCCGAGGCATAAAATTAAACAAACTTAGCAGGCATGAATGTGGCTATGAGGGACACTTTTGTGTGGAACTCGATATAACCGTTTTTTTTTTATTACACAGGGTCTTTAACGTGCGCACACTGCTCTGTAAATGGTAAATGAAGCAGGACGGCGAGTTGGGCAAGTTTGTTGATGTTTATCATGAAATAAAGACAAAGCAACAGGATTGACAATTTTTTGTGTCGTCTGTCGCACTGTATTTCACTCAGTAAGTAATCCTGCCACAGCAATGCGGCTTCGAAATGCGAGGATCCAACTCTGGCAGTCAGCATCACAATCGAACAGCTACTGTAGCGCACACTACAGTGTCCAAAACAACACAGCATTGCTGCGGTTAAAAAGCTACAGAAAGCGACAAAGTAACTCTGTTCCGTGAACCTCGCCGTTGCCAGCTTTCACATTATAGCCAGCTCATTTTTCTGTGCCACAACTTACTTGCGCGTTCGTATGGTTTCATTCGCTGTTTCGATTTGCTCAGTACGTTGCACTACTGTCGTAGCTTCTGTGCCACACTGCAGCTGTTCCTTAAGTTTAAAACGTTTTCATCGACTGTGCACCGCTCTTTATTCTCAGACTCTCGTAGATGCTTTAGACGCACAGATGCGCCCTTTTACACAGAAATAGGCGTTCTGTGGTAGAACCGACGAAAGCCCAACGTACCTCATCCAGGGGTCCTTGAGGCCCTCTTGGGCTAGGGTATCCCTCATTTTCACCAGCCTCGGGACGTCCTCGACTTTGTAAATCCTGTAATCTGGAATCGCCGGAGGTTTCGGTTCGTGATGATGGCCATGTTCAGTAAGGTCGCCACCCATAACTTCTAGTGAAGTGGTGTAACCTTGTCCGGGACGACCGTAGAGAAACTAAAGCCGCCTAAACGTTGATCAGAAAAAAGTGAGCGTACACAACACTGTAAACGCAAAGCCGCACTATCGTATTTTTGAAAAAGGCAAGAAAAAGTATGTCGCCATATTTTTTACAAACACAAAGTAACTTCATGAAGTGTAAATATTTATTGTATTTTTATATGTTTATATGCTATTTCTTAATGCTATGAGAAAGAGTGAACGTGCGGCGGTGTAAATGTTGACATATCAGTGACAGCTGTTTGTCTGCGGCCGTTTGTCTGCTGCACCGCTAGCATCGCCGAAGCGACTACCTCGAAGCTCGCAACAAAACCGAGGCAGCGGAACAGTATCTGTGCGTGACGAATGTGCGTGGTTTCGAGAGTTTGGACTTTGAAAACTGCGTACTCCTTTTCGTACCAGGTTCCCACGACTGCGTTCGAGAAGCTCCCACTCCGAATTGATGCTGCCTGCTTACTATGAGCGCTGAAAGAGTGTAAGTGCTATACAAGATACATCTGGGCGGCGTTAAAAGCGGCCCCTTCACCATTTAGATAAGCAGGGCGTCGGGGTGGATTGGCTCGGTTTACTGCAAGCAGGGGGGTTGTGCCGCCCGGCCCTGGTTTAACACGACTGTTTGCAGTCACCGGTTTTTATTACTGTCTTTCCTCTCGTCGACTTGCTGAAGCTCTTGCATGTCACATGATGTGCGTTAGCTGACTCACTCGTGAGCCGAGTACCTTGCCGAGCACCGATAAGTGGACAGTGCTCTCATTTCAGGTTCAGCTTGCTGAGCAGCAAACCTTCAAGCGAAATCTCCCAGTCGCCGGAATATGCCAGCTTCAGAGCCACCATCCCTCAAAGGAAGGTTCGTTTTTGAAGATGCATTTTTTTTTTCAACTGTCCTTTCACGCCCCATTCTCGTGGAAGAGGGCCTCTCTTATTATGTACTACATACGTACTTCGATGCCGCGCGAACTTCTCCAGTTTTCTCAACAGATTCACCCGCTGGTAGTGCGCATGTGCGCCGAGTGATATGCTCGGCTGCAAAGATTGAGACATGATTGATGCACACTTGCCAGTTGCGGTATGCATGCGTAATCAGGACATGTACTACCTTGTTTTCGACATTTCTGTCAAAAACATTGTTTTTTTTTACAATGTTTCAGCTGTGGGGACACTTTTCTTTGAGCATTGTGATATCTCTCTCTGTGCATTAGTCTGCAAACTTTTTTTTTTTTCTAGAAAGGGGCATGAATGAATAGCACACTTAGCTGCTGCAAGGGTAGTGAGGTGCTTGGCCATGACGTGCATGACATGCTACATGTCATGTTGACTAGACACCAGCTGGTGTCACTGACTAATGAATTCTGCAAATTTTCAGTGAATACTACTCATAGTTATGTCATCAACATATATACGTACGCTGGTAGTAGGACCTATCAAAATGTGACTGATATGCTGTCCTTTCTTGTGAAGTATATATATATATATATAAGTATAGGGGAAGTTATTAGACCGCATTGTATTGTAAATGTGAAGAAAGGAAAGTGGGTGAAAAGATAACTTGCCGTGGGCAGGGGCAGGTACTGAACCGGTGACCTTTGAATAATGCATTCGATGCTCTATCACTGAGCTACCATGGCGGCTATCCTCCCAGCCACTTTATTGGGTATATTTATTTAGTTATTGGATACTGCGGACCAAAAACTGGTCCGAGCGAGACACGTACAAGAGGCAGGATATAAATACAAAAACACATGTGATAACATAAGAATATATCACGAGAAATAGAATTGAAAACTTGTACTAATAGCACGCATAAAAGTTAACATGGCAAAATATTAGATAAAAAGAAGCATAACACAAATTGACGGTGCCTATTTTAGCTCTAAACAGCAGAAAGTTGGCTGAAATCAGTCGGGCAGTTTCACTCTGACACAGTACGCGAAAAAAAAAATTTTGAATGTGTTGATTTGGCAAATTACGGGGTTAAAGAATGGCCATGATGATAACGTGTATGCCTAATGGGCAGAGGAGATGCATATGCACTCGGGTCAAGGGCTAACTTGTGATTAACTAGCAGAGATAGGAAGTTAAGGCTGTTCCTTTTTCGTCGTAATGAAAGTGTTTAAATGTTGTTAGCAGTCATGAGTTTAGTCGGTGAGTCGGTAAGTTTGAACTTGGAATAAGCAAACCTAACAGCCTTTCTTTGTACTGCTTCGAGTTTCTTAATGTTGGATTTAGTAAAAGAGTCCCATACAACACAAGAGTATTCTAGTTTTGGTCTTATGTGCATATAATAACTAAGTAGTTTTATGTTAGAAGGAGAATTTCTAGGTTTATGTTTTAGAAAACACAGCTTACGGAATGCAGAAGAACATGCATTGTCTATGTGAGTGTTCCAAGACAGGTTATTAGTTAATGTCACGCCTAGATATTTGTAGTTTTTTACCTGTTGTAGTGAGGATAAGTCGAGGTCATAAGTAAAATGAAGGGGTGTTTTTGAACGAGCCATGCAAAGATAAACAGTTTTTTGTGCGTCCAGTACCATACCATCGTCGCTACACCAGACTAGTCCTTATTAAGGCGTACGTTCAGGTTCTCTTGATCATTAGAACAAGTAATTTCATGAAAGAGCACACAATCATCCACGAATAATCTGATTTGAGTTTCTGGTAGTACCGTGTTTACAATGCCGTTTACATAAATTAAATATAACAGCGGCCCCAGGACACTACCCTGCGGCACGCCTGATGTAACAGGAAGAGAGCTCGAATTGCTTTATTTATTGAAACAAACTGTGAACGTTCTGACAAATAGTGTTGTATCCAGAAAATGAATATGGCGGGTAGATTGATTTCCTCAAGTTTTGTAATTAATTTGTGATGAACAACTTTGTCGAATGCCTTGCTAAAATCAAGGAAAATGACGTCAGTTTGACCATTTTTATCCAGTTTCTGCAAATGAATGAACCACTGAGACTAACTGAGTTACCGTTGAATAACCTTTTCTAAAGCTATGCAGAAAATTAGTCAGCAGAGAGTTTTGCTGGAGAAATTCCACAGTGCATTAGATATTACATGTTCGAGCATTTTACAAATTGGTGATGTTAATGAGATGGGAGGGTAGTTTTCTTCAGGTGAATGGTTGCCTTTCTTAAAGAATGGAATAACATGAGCCCTCCTCCAATCACTGGGTAGTTTTGCACTCAACAGTGAACACCGAAAGAGCACAACAACACAAGTACTAAATATTATGTTAATTTAAACGTGGGAGTGTCAGTCAGAGACGTGCTCTCAAGTCCTTACTCCTGGCCCAACTCCTGTGGTCTGAACTGCCGATGGTGGAAAAGTCGCCATGATTGGTGTGTGCTCAGCTCGCGTCAGTATCGCCGGACGTCACACATCAGTTCTGTTTTATGTTTTAGAACATTGCCCTCACGACATAATTTTGGGCCATGTTTTTTGTCTGAACATTCAGCCTTGATAGATTGTTTTGCCGGTATAGTGTAACTCGCTCTACCTACTGTTGTTGATCCTTCAAGTTGCCCTCCAAATCGGCTCTGTTCCACAGAACACCTGCATCTCCCTCAACAAGCAGTTGCTTACATAAGCGTCTCACCAGTTCTACGTCAGTCAGTCAGTCAAAGAACTTTATTTGGTCCTGAGAAGACGAGAATGCCCCCGTCAGGGGGTACCGTTTGGGGGCCCCACCCATGATGGCGCCGGGAGGTGCAGGCTCTCAGCGACTATTTCAGACGGTGTTTATATTGTGTCCCCCAATGTTGATGTGCTGCTTTCGCACAACGTTGCGTTTTTTCACACCGTCGTTATTATAATGGCCAAGGCATCCTGCCTACCACTAGTAAATTTTGGCCTATGTACAAAAGTTCTCCCTCGTGGTATATTTCTCGCTGAAATCATGCCGGCGGCAGAGTGCCATATTTTCACTCTAAGTTATGACAGCATCCCGAGTGCCGAGAAAACTTCATCTACTCCTCCATCATGCCAAAGTGTGTTAACCAGGATGATTGCACCCGACTTACCGAAAGAACAAGCTAATGACCCGCGTTCCTTGCTTGCATGTTTTTGGGACGTCTTCGACCTTGGCAATTGCCCCCTCGGCCAGACGTCCATTGTTACGCACCGGATTGGTACGGGCGTTACGAGTCCCATCCATCGGAGACCCTACCGCATCTCCCATGCTGAGCGGCGCATCATCCAACAGGATGTCCACGAAATGCTTTCTCGGAATATTATTGAGCCTTGCTGCAGTCCGTGGGCATCCCCTGTTCTACTTGTCAAGAAGGACAACAGCTGGAGATTTTGCATCGATTATCGGCATTTAAACAAGATAACGAAGAAGGACGTCTACTCTTTGCCACGCATAGACGATGCCCTGGATTGCCTTCATGGTGCAAAATAATTTTCCTCTATCGACCTTCGCTTCGGGTACTGGCAAATTGCCGTTGATGACATGGCCGTGAGAAGATGGCGTTTATCACTCCCGACGGCCTTTACCAGTTTAAAGTGATGCCTTTCGGTTTATGCAATGCGCCCACCACATTCGCATGTATGATGGACAACTTCAAGGGGTCCATTTGCTTGTGCGGCCTGGACGACGTCATCGTTTTTCGTCTTCTTTTGTGACGCACCTTAAAAGGCTATTGAAAATCTTATCTGTCTTTGTACGGAGAGACTGCAACTCAATTCGGCAAAGTGCCACTTCGGCCGTCGTGAAATTTCTGTCCTCGGACATATCGTTGATTCTGTAGGGGTTCGCCCTGATCAAGATAAAATACGGGCAGTAAAAGATTTCCCTGCACCAACGCATACCAAAGACGTTCGCAGTTGCTTTGGCCTCTGTTCTTACTTCCACCGCTTTTTTAAAAACTTTGCTAACATTAAAGTGTCAGCCAGCTGGTTGCGGAAGTCATCCCACATAGCCATGCTTCTTTCCCTGTTGATGTACCATGTCTGGATGTTGTCTTTCAGGTAGAGCTACACATTCGTAAGCTTGTCTTCTGGGGTGGCCCACTGGTTGTACTTCGCACAGCGTTCGAATCGGTGCAGCCAG